TTTAAATTTTTATACACCAAATTAGGCATTTTCTTATTAAAACGTATGTGTTTATCTTTATCTTAATTTTTATTTCCCAATTTTTTTTGGTAAAGTACCTTAAAGCATTTATTTTTTTTTTCTTCTGATTCTAAAATATGTTTAATATGTTAAAGAGCTAAATTATCCTTACTATTCGGAAAATTCTTCGAAAAACTTCTTTATATTTATTTTTTATTTTATCACCTTAAAAGTTTTCTAAAATTAAAAAGGAAGCAAAAATTGTCTTAATTAATATAGAACCATGATAGCAATGGCTTTTAAAAAATATCATCTATTTCTTCATTATTGTCCATTGAACCCATTGCAACTGCAGTATAATTCAAATTCTTATATATTATTTCTTTATATGTTATAATATTTTCGAACGATGTTAAACCAATTAATTTATTTAATACAATAATTTATGATTAAAAATGAAGTATCTTGAAATGTTTGCATATTGTATGGATTTTGCAAAGTCATCATGTTTAGTTAATTTAAACTAAGCTGTTGACTGTGGTTTGTATTTTTCCATGACAGTTTCAATTTTATTTTCTCCAACTACAAGTTTTTGTTTGTTTTCAAAGTGAACAGCTAAATATACAAATGTATGATATCAACCACCAGTTAGAAATTCTTGCAATTTTTAAGCTGCTTTCATTGGACCCACATATCTAGCATTAACGTAACTATCGATTTCATGAAATATTTTTTTGACTTGGTCTTTAATTTTTAAATTTTGATGTATGCTCTGTCACTACTTTTATGTATGTAGTCATAAATATGTTTTATTCTTTGAGTAGATGCACAGAATCCGACGTTTATATGACGTTCGTGTTTTATTAACAAAAATTTTTAATACGGCACAACCATTGAATTATCTACTAAAATTTTATCTTTTCTCCAAAGTTTTTTAACATTTTAATCAGAATTTTATTTTTTTTTCTATATTTAGGGTAGCTATTTGTTCAAAATAAAGTTATGTTTGCAAAACATTTTGGAAAACTATTTGTA